CCATTGAGCTAGTTACGATCCAGTGGCTGCAAAAGGTTGGTGTATTTGATGGGGAAGCCGTGGGGGCGGCACTTGGCAGTGAGCTATGAGTGAATGGCACTGATACTAGGATCAGTGGGAATCATTGGACGTAGAGATGGTGACAGGTAACAGATCACAACATTGATCAGGAAACCTGATGGGACAGGCAAGGGATGATCTAGGAAGCTGGGCAGTAGTGATCCGAATCTTTGGAGAATATTCCAAGGATCGTCGGACAAGGGGGCCAGCCAGCCGGGGATATAAATTGGGGGGATGCACGGGGCTTGAAACAGCCACCCACGGTGGGAGCTGACTTCCGCGCTGTTGTTTTGGACGAAAATTATAACATATACCTGGTTGCCCATGAAAATCTTGGAGCGCCTCCATGTGCGCGAACGTCTGAGTGCCGTCCAAGTACAATTTCTGCAAGCTATCGACTTTGGAAACGCAGCAGGGACTGAGTTCGACAGCGTGGGCACTGCCCATTGTCGTACAGCATGTGGCGCGTTGATTTGTGACATGTGCAATGGTCGTCACGTTGCATTGCGTTCGCATGGTGATTCAGGGAATTGCATGAGGGTTTGGTGAACAGCGATCGTGAGAAAAGCAACATTGGACGCTTAAGAAGCGTACGGACGTGGTATCAAAAACGCGCTGCAACACTGCCACGCTCATTTAAGTGTGAATCCCTGTGACGATCGTACCTCTGCAAGGTCGAGCAGGTCAGAAATCCGCATTACACAGTTCCTTCACAAGCACATGCAGCGCTCTCGCTAATGCCATTGCCTGTCCAGCTGTGTATCGATGATCGCGGCATGAGCCAGGCTGGAATGGAGCGCTGTCGTCCACCTAGCTGCCTCGGAAAACTTGTATCCGCTGTGGGAATTTGTCCTCTACCTGGATAAGTAACCAAGAATTCGACACCAAGGCGACATCGTTTCTCCCTGACCATGTTGGTACCTGGTCACGCTGGTCCCAAGTGATCCCACAAGACGATGCATTACGATTGGCCTCAATCAGCTGTCCCCACCATTAAGACAATCACTGAGGTACCCATTGAAATGTGCCCATTGGCTTCGCAGCATCTATTTCTTTACGACACCATGACTCAGCATTGAGTCAATCCCAAATATGGAATTTGGCTTGCGCACCCAAGTCTCAACAAGCCCATCTGCTTAGGTGAGAAGGCTCTGCTGCGGGAGGCTTCACAGGCTTGTATGGAGCAAAACACCACTCATTTCCTGCTGTTTTGTACATCGAATGGTGTCGAGTACCATTTCACTAACCAACATGTGTCATTCATCGACCAGGGCGCGTTTATCAATCATAAACGATGGATGGTCAAGTGCTGTGGCCACGAGGCAAGAATTTAAGTAGCGCTTCCGCGTATATGCCGAAATCGTCTCAATTGTTCGGTATGCCTCAGCATACGTAGCATTTCGGCATTTTGAATGCTCGGTGTCGCGTGTCTGTCACTAGGAAAGAACAGGCCAGATGACACAGTCCTGACACGGTCTGCTCAAAATCTAACTGTGTACTTTCGGCAAATGTGGTCCCAAAAGTGCACACTTAGTACACACATTGACACAGTTTCAACCGTGTAACCTCAAACAACTGTGTTGAATACATGGTTTCCAGTATGGTCAGCACCTGGGAATTCCCTGCGACGCTGAGAAGAGGTACTGGCGACACGAAGCACACAGGTCCTTGGATTCACTGTGGCAGAATAGGGAGAATTGTAGATAACACACCAACCGCATCCTCGCAGCCCTCTTATGAAACCCGCAGCATGAGACACACATAGCCCTGTTTGGCAAAGCTGAATGCCTGCAAGTTGTGCAGTGTGTGGTGGCGATCAGATCAGCTACCAGGAGTATGGATTGAATTCTGTGACTGCGCTTGGTGGACATGACAAACCATGGCCGTTGCACCTTCAAGATGTTGAAGTACATCAACCACATTGCCTGGCTGAGAAGGTTGTTTCATGTCAGTCAAGTGATGGTGTGGAGGCACGCAGAGAGTGTCGCCCCAGCGGCTTGTGGCAGTAAGAGAGCGGCGGAGACGGTGATTGGTTGATTCAATTTGCCAAATATGCCTGTGCACCTCCGAGAAGGCGAGGGGGATTATAGGAAGGCAAGAATAAGGAGGAGGAGCTTGTGTTTTTGTTGACACAAGGACTCAAATGGGAAATGGGCTGCATAGATGGCAATTGCAAACACAACAGCACTGGTGAGGAGTTGCGTTGGATGCATACTGCGATATGATAGCCGTACAGATAGGAAAGCCCTGCTTCAGAGTATGCCTGATTAGATTGCCATGGTTGAATTGTTTATATTGCATTATCAGACTAGCCTTGGCAAACAGAAGCTAACGCGCATTTGGCAGGTGGTGCTGGTGGGCCGCAACCAGTGACTGTGATTCTAGAGTGCCTGTATCTGCATGTTGCCAAACTCATGAGAACAGCTACAGAATCAATGCCAAGAGCCATTTGCACTTTTTTCTGGTGCTTGAAAACCCTACATCTATTTGAATTTTACTGTGCAGTGCAAATTGACTCTGCAGACTCGGTTGAAGGTGAAACAGCAGTTCCATAGTTCTTTGAGTTGGGCCAAACGATTTTCATATCGACTTGCCAGTTGTGCCTAGAATCTAGCAAGGAACGCGATGACACAAGCTCCTTTTCGCGCAAGCTTGCTGTGTGCATCAGCCTTTTCTCACTGCGCAGGGGTGTCAGCGCGCCCGCTGGCCAAACACCGAATATCATGATGTGCCTTATGGTTTGTAGGTTTTCTTTCCAATACACAGGTGAAAAGTCAGCTGTACTTGCTGCTCGTGGGGGTGTAATGTGTGATTGAATATGCAGCAGGGCTGCAGCTGCTGCACGTTGCTAATGCGTTTTGCCCTAATCGTCTCCAGCTTCTCCTTTTCCCTTTTCATCTTGGTCATTTGCTCGGCTCAGAGGTGCTGTTTTACACGAGTAGTCTTGTTTAGACATTTGATTATTGCTTTACAGGATGGGCGTGGCTCGAGATGCAGCTGTGCCCAGATGGGGCAAGGGGGCTGCGCGGAACAAGGGAAGTCAGCTTTGCTGCTAACTCGAGTGCCATCCAGAGACCCACCGATGGTAATTTGTGCACGCATATCAGGAACATTGCCAAAGTTTTGGAGATTGCCGCCTATGACGGCGGCGAGAATGGGAAGCAGAGAGACCTGTGTTCTCCCATTCATAGGGACATCGGCGGTATGCACTGCCTTCTGCTACGCTCCGGCTTTGGAAGTCCGCAGCGGTGCAAGGCATTGCTGCGGAGTCCTGACGTGTTGTTCTTTGGCATCGACATCCCTGGCTCCCGGCATTTTTGAAACTGCGTCTGAAACCCGAGTTACCACAGACTACTTGTTTTGTGAAATGCTGACATGTGACAGTGTACCAAAGCTGGTTGAATCGCTCCCTTGATAAAATTTCACAATTGTGTTGGGGGTGGCTGGGTGAGGCCACCCTCATTGCATCATTCCTCCACTTTGGTGCACATCAAAACGTAGAGGCTTTCCCGCAGAATCCATGCAATCCAGTTGTCAGAGCGGCCATGGCCAACAAACCCTTTGCGCAATGCAGGCAACGGTGATGCAGAAATATCCAATCAATATTTCGAGTCTCCCTCCGAGGAATTGCAGGTCTTCATTTTTTTGTCGGCTGACAATGGGATGCTTGCACAGAATTTGAAAATGCGAGATGCTTGGCGAGATCCTCTTCCGCATGAATGTGGGACCAACTGTTGTGGGCTTTGGTCCCCCTGTCATTCTGGCACTTCTCAGTTTTCTAAACCAACGGCCTACTGTAAGTACCCGTCATATATTGCCCTCTTGCCCGGCTGTATAATGCGCCCCCGTCCCGTTTGCACCCTGATGCGCACAAAGAGCAGGTTGAGGAACGAGGCAATGCACGGCTGCACGTCCATTCTGGGCACCAGTGGCGGGCTGGCAATAAAGTGCCGAAAACTCACTGCACAAGCTGTGTGCGATACACCACCTTGAGCATGAAAGCTGAGGAGCCGTAGCCGGCCAACATACAACCCACCGAGAGGTGCCTATGCTCATGATACAAGCTCCCTGTGTTCCAGTCGCTGCACCTGGGACAATGAGAAAACCCGGCTCGCTGGCGCGGGACACCCTCATGCCACCGTGGCCATAAGTCTGACTAGGATGACGACCTGCTAGCATCCAACCCCAGCACCAGTGCGTTTCAAAGAGCGGCGTTACTACTGCAAAGCATGAGGTGCCGCCACAAAGACATGCACATCCAAACGGCACCATCATCAAACTGGGCATCAACAATGTCCACACACGTAGTTCTACTTCTGGCGCAAATCTCCTCAGAACAAGGGAGTCCAAATCATTGCACCCTGTGTGTACTAGTCAGGGCTCACTTGGCAGCCAGGCCGCGATGCCACATTCCCTGCGTTGCTGCTACAGCCTCTTTTCGTCATGCCAAGTGCTTGGGGCCACTGTGGTGGCAGCATCGCTGCCCTCACGAACTCTTGTCACTCCTTTGCCAGCCTTGAGACAGAGTCCTCGAGTCGTCTCTTGTCTGCCCCGCTGAAAGATTCGATGGTCTCCAGGTTCCTCACAAACTTGAACGTTGGCTGTGCACATGACAATGTCTCAGGGCAGGAGAAGCATAGACCTGAGCAAGGAAGACCCCCGACTGATTTGTGGTTCAAAGTCAAGGGCAAGTATGCATGGACTAGTCACGCACACATCAATTCAATTCCTATTTTGCTCCCAACAGAGATCTTTGCAATATCATGGATACTGGATCTCGACCATGGCAACATATTGCGGTGGAATTAATCTCCCAACATCGCTCAGTGGGTGATGGAGAAGCACTATTTTAATTCTCGATTAAGCAATGAGACAGGACAATGAAACTCACCACTTGAGTAATCAGATGCTTGGTGACAGTATCTGTGATTTCATCGCCATCAATGTCGACTCTCAGGAACTGAACCTGGGCAAGAAGTCAACAGCAGATGAAGTGTTAGCAAAGGGGAACTAACTACGGGCCCGTGATCAACATTTGACGAGCCCAGATATCACCTTGAACTGCTATAAGAGGTGGCCAAAGGCCAGAATCTCTTCTCTTGGGACAGTCTTAAAATTCATGCCAAACTTTGAGCTGTAAGAAAATCTGTTGAGAGTGGTCCTTAATCAGGAGCTAGCAGCATTGTACTCACATGTGGATGCTGGGCACTGAGGGAATCGAAAATGGGTGCCATGATCTTGCCTGTGCCACACCACATCACCTGTGAGGCTTATGAATCAATAAGCAAGTCCACATGCAACTATTGAACAGATGACAATTCCTGACTCAAACCTGAACCACTTCAAGCCAACATGGATGTCCATGCTGAAAACCCTCAGCAAAGCGACATGCATGGCTGGTCACAGTTCATCCTAACACACTGCTGCTAGCTCACAATTGTACAACCATGCTAATTCACAAAATTGAACAAGTGTGTGCAAGCGATCCAGCAATTAAGATACTAATTGATGCTCTGAGATTGCCATTCCCAAAGCACATGCTCCTCACACAGCATGGCCAGGCCAAACAATGCCCCATATTGTCATGCAACAAATACCCAGACGAAAATGAACACCAGCACATGGTCAAGGTTGCCTGGAACACCAGCAAGCAAGGAAATAAGCATAGTTCTATGTGCTGACAGTGTAGGTATAGCTGGCCTTGTCAAAGCTTTATGGCAAATCCCCAATCATCAACATAATCCTTGACATACATGGCCCACACCATTTCGCCGTGAAGTCGATGACTGCAAGCTTCCCCTCATCTGCTGGCAGACCCACAAAATTTCAGACAGATCGCACACACTCCTTGCACGTAGTCCATCACCTTCAAGGCTTTTGGATAATGTCATTGCGTTGTGCAACTTTGGCAACTGGAACAACGGACTTGGCTGCAGGCAGCTCACACAAAGGCCCGCTGCATCCTGAAAGCGATTTGGCAGACCTGAAGCAATGCAAGGAAAATATACAGTGCAGCTGCACATAAGAGCGCAGCATGCTTCAGATTCTCTTATTGGTTACAGATCACCAGCGCTGGTCTGCTCTTCTAGCTGCACGATGCTGCACTGTCATAGAATCGATAAAATGGATCGCGTGGTCTTTTGCATTGCATCAACTGCGACTGATTCCACGCTGCAGCTCGTGTTCCAAGCTTTCATGAGTTTTTAGAGTTCCAGAAAGGCACTGTCACTCTGGAGCAGCAGCAGTGCAGTTTGTTCGTCTTCAGAGCCCAGACTTTGCCCCCAAAATATTTGGAACCAAATGAAAATACGTGATGCAGTGGGGACTCCCCTCCAGAGCCATACATTGAGGCCGCCACTACTTTGCAAACTGCACAACTGCATGCAGGATTCCTTGCAGGCAATGCCGCATCCCAGCTCCAGCATTTATGTTCGTAATGCCAAACGCATACGTGCCCTTCTGTGGCTAGGCATTGAAGGCAAACAACTGCGTCAGCATCTTGCTTCAACAGACACCAATTGCGACCCCAACAGTGCCAAATTCTTTCCACAGGCAGGCCAACCTCAGGACGTGCCAAATTGTCTTGCCTGCCGCTTTTGTCACTGCGTCATTGTAGCCACGGTCGGTAGATATTTCCACCACTTTGGTCGGCAAACCTGCATGTGGGGGGATGAAGAGAATTCAGACATCGCAGGCACAAGCCCACCAAGACAGCAACACACAGGTTAGGATGTTGGGCAAGCCTCCCAAAAGTCCACGGACAATTGGGGCTGGTAAGAAATACATGATCGAAAGGCACCGAGACAGAGAACCTTGGGAGCAGCCAGTTGTCTTCCAACGTCGGGGCAACGAGAGCATGGGAACACGTCATGGCGAATTGACCGCGCCGCGGTCTGACGCCTGCTCCGTCCGCCGCGAGGCTTGCAGTGAGCTGGGACAACGGGCAACGAGGGGAGAAAGAAAATTTGAGGATCTCTGGATGCCTGCCTTGCCACTGGGGTATCAGCCGCAACCAAAAACACACGCCGTTTGCCGGGAACCCTGCTGCCGCCAACGCGCCCAAGGACCAGAGGGAGACGCTTGAAGCAAAGGGTGTTCGAAACTGCTCCCTGCGCCGGCGACTCGCCTTTCTCTGACAGCGGCCGCAGGAGTAGCTGCGCGAACGGCGCCGACTCTGCCAGGGGCGCCTGCAGCGCCCGCCCTGCCAAACTGAAACCCCGGGCCCCAAGGCGAAGCATCGATTGCAACGGAGGCGCAGATCCGGGCGGGCGACAAAGCCGCGGAGGCGGCCCGCGGGAGGCAG